GGGCGAGTACCGAATGTTCTGTGAAATATCTGTAGGGTACTGGGAGAGTACCGAACAGTCTGTAAAATCTCGGTAGATACTGGGGAGAGTACCGAACGATCTAGGAAATCTCTGTAGGGTACTGGGGTCTGACAGATCTTCTTTGTAGTGATCTGTCGGTACTTACAGAGGGAAAATACCGCCGGTACCGATCTGTGAGTACCCTACAGAACGGACCTGTGCAACAATCGACGATCGCTAGTCATTTGTCCGCTATTAAGTTCTTCCATCTTGTGTCGGGTGAAGGGGAGCTTGATACGCAGCATCCGCTGGTTCGTTGTGCTTTACGTGGGGCGGCGCGGGGGCATGCCGACGTGGGCGCACAGCAGCGGTTGCGACGGCCGGTGTCTTGGGCGATGTTGCAACGAGGGAGTTCGCTGGTATCGCAATGGGGGGTAGGCGGGCGCGTTTTGTTTCTTGCGCTGAGTGCTTCTCTCTTCTTCCTGACGCGAGCATCCGAGATGTTTGCGGTGTCGAAATTGTCTATGCATGAGGTTCATGGATTGCGTCGGGGGGATGTAGCGTTTTTTCGGGGGTCGGTCCAGCTGTTGCAGTCGGCGCAGTGGCCATTGGCCGATCGCGTGGAGGTACGTTTTCGTTCGTCGAAAGGGGACCAGTTTCGGAAGGGGGCGGTTTGCACGCGCACACGGCAAGGTCCGTGCTGTGGGGTTGACCGAGGGGGTGGTGCAGTGGATGTCATGGTGGAGCTGCTTTCTCTGTATACCTTTTTGCCTTCGCATGCGCCTCTCGTGGCCTTTCGGTGTTGGTCAGGGCCAGTGGGCCATGTGGACTAAGTGTCAAGCTACTGTGGCTCTTCGCCAAGTGGTTGCGTTGGCGGGTTTGCAGCCCGAGGAGTACGCGCTGCACTCCCTGAGAATTGGGGGCGCAACTTTCTTGGCGGCGGAGGGGGCTTCGCCGGAGGTTCTCCGAAGAGAAGGGCGTTGGTCGGGGGAGAGTAGTCACCAGTGTTACGTTCGGAATGTTGGGGGTGACGCTTCGTGGGTGTCAGAGGTGTTGGCGAACAAGGAGAAGGTGTCTACACAGCCAGGGCAGGGTACCCGATGGGGTGACGTGTGAAGGGGTTCCGTGGCACGTTGTGTATGTCGAGATCCTTGTTGTACCGATGGTATTTTGCTGTACATATTGTATGCCGTATATCTTCTCCCTTCTTCCCCTCGCTCCTCGACAAGCTTTTGCTTAGACATGGGTTGTAGCGAAGGGGGGGGTCTTTCTGGCGAGCAGGGCTAGACTCACCCTCAA